AAGTTGCTTATGATAAAAATAAGAGAAACTCCATTAAAGGAAGGAAGGGAGGAAGGGAGGGAGGAAGGGAAGGAGAGAGGGAGGGAGGGAAAAGAAAAGAAAAAGATAAAGCATAGGTTTCATCAGCAATCCAATACTGCAAAAACAAATTACAGGTGTCACAAACCCTGCCAAGCCAGAGGGGACAGTAAAGACTTTGGAGTTTCTATTGAGATTCCAGAATAACTAGGTTTTAGAGCAAGGATAAAACTGAATATCAAGAATGAATAAGTGGGACGGTATCAAACTAAAAAGCTTCTTCACAGCAAAGGAAACAATCAAGAATGTGAACAAGGAGCCTACAGAATGGGAGAAAATCTTTACCATAAGCACCTCAGATGGAACATTAGTCTCCAGGATATACAAAGAACTCAAAAAACTTAACACCCGAAATATATACATACATACATACACACACACACACACACACACACACACACACACACACACACACCAATCAATAAATGGGCAAAGAAACTGAATCAGCACTTCAGAGAAGAAGAAATATGAATTGTCAAAAATATCTGAAAAAAATGTTCAACATCTCTAGCAATTAGAGAAATGCAGATTAAAATTACACTGAGATTCTATCTCATTCCAATCAGAATGGAAATTATTGAGAATATAAGTAGTAATAAATATTGGCAAGGATGTGGGGGAAAAGTTTCACTCATATATTGCTAGTAAGCAGCATGGAGTTTCCTCAGAACACTTGGAATGAAACCACCATTTGATCCAGTTATCCTACTCCCTGGCTTATACCTAAAGGAGGACTTAAAATCAGCATATCACAGTGGTGCAGCCACATTAATGTTTATAGCAACTCAACTGACAATGAAATGGATGGAACTGAAGAATATCATCCTAAATAAAATAAGCCAATCTCAAACAATCAAAGTATGAATGTTCTCTCTGATATGTTGATGCTAATCCACATCAAGAGAGGGTGGGGAGGGTAGAAGAGAAATACATTGGATCAGACACTGAGGGAGTGGGGCGGTGGGAATAGGAAAGGAGTGGAATGAATCAGGTGTAACTTTCCTATCCTTCTATATGAACATATGACCAGTGTTAACTCCACATCATGCACAACCACAAGAACAGGATCCTAATTAGAATATGTTATGCTCCATGTATGTATACATCAAAATATACAGTACTGACATGTGTATCTAAAAATAAAAAATAAAATAAATAAGAATATAGATTGGAAAAACACTATTAATCAATTTAATATTTACAGAACATTACATCTAAATGCTGAATTTTTGAGTGAAAATTCTTATTTCCACATTATTATCAAAAGACTGAAGATCACTAACCAAAATCAACAAGAGGGTGGGCCATAAGTTAAGCCTAAACAAATTTCTAATGATTGAAATAATACACTGGAATTAAACTAGATTTCAATTTATACTTGGTAAATAAGAAATCCTACAAATGTTTTGAAATTAACCAACATACTTCTAAATAAGCAAAGATCTGATAAAACTGTGGCAGTGGAGTTTAGAAAATATTTTTAACTGAATGAAAAAATATAACATGTCAAAATCTATAAGCAGAAAAAAATAGCTCAAAATGGATTGTAAGCCTATAAATAAATTTTAAAACTATAAAATTTTTAGAATAAATTATAAATTTAAAAATGTAGGTAAATATTTCTTACCTAGGCCCCTAAGGATATGACCTATAAAAAAGAAGTGATAAATTGATATCTATTAAAAATTTAAAAGTCTGCTCTTTATAAATGCCACAAAGAAAATTAAAAGGAAAACTAAAGACAGAGTATTTACAACATAAATACATGTTAGAGGATTTCTATCTAAACTATTAAGAATATTTACAACTCAACAATACTAATTACCCCATTCATTTTTTCCTTTATTCCTCCACACACATCATTTTGACTTAGAGATCAATGAAAACAAAAGTTGCACTAGTAAGGAAATAATATATTAATAAAAATTGAAAGGTAATGTTTTTGTGTGTGCATTCAAAAAATATAAAACATTAAATTCTGAATCACTAAACCTCTATAATACACAGACAGAAAAAATTACTTTAGTTATTAATGCCTGTGACTAAGCATCATTGCCCACTGCAAGTGGACCAAAAGTTTCTCTAGTGGGCATTAACTGGACATCTTCATCTTCCATACAGGTAGCACAGCCCCAGACTGCTTCTGTGGGCAGTAGGCCATACACTCTTTCAGTTATTCCAGTACAGGTTTGATGAAACCATTTATGAGGAGAGGCCTCACATAAGATGGCATCCTGATCATCAGCCACTTTGTACAAATTCCACAAGGATACAGTGGGTTGAAGATGAATGCTCATGACAGTTTAGATGGAGACAGTACTTATTGCAGTTTTTGGTGGTACAAGCATCTACTGCTCTCTAGGTATCCTGGCTTGTTCTGGGTCCCATTTACAAGGCTGTTATTTGTAGCTTAAGTGCTACTCAAATGGCTGTTTTCTTGACTTACTGAATTGTTTTAACATTTTTGAATTCAATGTTACTCTAAGTCACTATATCCTCCATATTCAAGTGAGTGGGATGAACAGGCGAATTTTGATTGGTGATTTGGGTTCCTCCTTGACTAAAGTCTTGTTTTGGGAGGTGGTGCTTTTGCCTGACCAAAAGTATTTGGGGATAAAACATGTACTTAACAAAAGAGAGAGAAATGACCATCAATTACATGAAAAATATTGAAAGCCATCATCAGGGAAATGCAAATTGAAGCCACTGTGAAGCACTACTATACAAATTAGGAAAGTTAAAAATTCCAAGATGATGATACCATTAGTGGTCAAGGCTAGGAGTGATTGGAAATTTTATATTTTGCTGCTGGTTTGCAAAATGGTATAGACACTTACACAAGTTGGCAGTGTCTTATAAAAGTTATACATACCATTTACTCTATGACCCAGCAGTTCAAAACCTACAAATTTATGCAATATAAATGAAAACATCTACACAAAAATTTGTACATGAATGTTCATATCAGATTTATTCATAATAGCCCCAAACTGAAAACATCTGAAATTTCTACAATGGGTGAATAAATTGTGGTGCTTTAATGTGATGGGATGTTACTTAGCAATAAAAGAGAATGAAATACTGACATACACTGCAAGAATTAATCTCAAAACTGGTGAATGAAATGGTAGAATCAGAAAAATAAAACCTGTATAATTCCATTTATGTGAAAGCCTAGGGGAAAAAATTCTAATCTATATTGAAAAGAGTCAGGTCTATGGTTTCTTGGAGACACAAGTGGCAGAATTATCTGGGAAAAGATTGGAAATAGTTGTGGGTAATAAATGTTCATTGTTTTGGTTTTGTTTATACAGGTGTATAAATTTTCCCAAACCACCAAAATGTGAAGTTAAGATGCGTACAACTTATCGTGTATGTCTTAATAAAGGGGATAAGAACAACTGAGCTCAGCTAAATATGTACTTATGAAGATATATACAATGTTAAACATAAATCTGAGCAAAAAATAAATGTTGAAATCAATTATCTACACTTTCATCCCAAGAAGCTACAAACAGAACAATGAATCATATCTAAATAGTATAAAATGAAAGAACATAAATTAATAAAAAAAACTTACTATATAATTGTTCTGAGATGATTTGAAAAGATTAGTAAAATATTAAATGCCTATAAAACCTAAACACACAAAAAGAAAGTACATAAATATTACCAATATGAGGACTGAAAAGGGGAATATTACTTTGAATCATACAGATACTAAAACTTTAATAAGAAAATATCATAAACTATTTAAAGCCAAAAATTATATTATTTGATAAAATATGGACAAATTACAAACTGGCAAAAAAAATTACATAGGGATAGAATATTTTAATAGTCCTATATAGTAAAAATAATTAGATTTATAACTTAAATATTTTCACAAAGAAAACTCCTAGCTCATTTATATCAACTATAATACCAATAATATTAATCTTATATAATCTTTTACAGAGAACCAAAACCAAATAAAACAAGAAAGAAAACATAAAAAATTAAATAAATCTAAATTCATTTTATGAGTCCATTATAATCTCTGGTAAACAAACTCTGGTAAAGCTATTACATGATAGGAAACAGTACTGAAACATCCCATGGTACCCCACAGAGTTGTACAAATTTTATGCCTCAGTTAAATTTAAAAATTTTTTAAACCAAAAAGGGAAACATATAAGACCACATGGACAGACACAAAACCCTATATAAAAGTACAAAATTGGGGGCTAGGGTTGTGGCTCAATGGTTGAGTGTTCACCTAGCCTGTGCACGGCCCTGGATTCGATCCCCCAGCACTACCCAAAAATAAATAAAATAAAGGTACAAAAAAAGCATAAAATTTGACAAATCTTATTCAAAAGTATATAAAAAAGATAACACATAATGCCTGAATGGAATCTAATTCAAGAATGTGAAGTTGCTTTACTAATCCCAAAAGAAGTTCATATAACTGGTCACGGTAGTGTATATTTGTTAATCCCAGCCACTTGGGTGACTAAGGCAGAAGGATTCAAACTTTGAGGCCAGCCTCAGCTATGTCAAGAAAACTTGTTTTCAAAAAGGGTTGGAGTTATAGCTTAATGTTAGAGTGCCCCTGGGTTTAATCCCAATAGCACAAAAAAAAATAAATTCATATAGACAAATTTTAAGGATATTATACTAAGTGAAATAAGCCTAATCACAAAAAGACAAACACTGTATGATTCTCCTTATATTAGGAAACAAAAAAGTATTCATATTTGTAAAGACAGATAGTAGAATGGTGGTTTCCAGGGGCTGGGAAGTGGAGTAGAGAATGGTGAATTGTTGTTTAATGGGTGGTGAGCTTTGGTTTTACAAGATGAAAAGAGTTCTGGGCATGGATGGTAGTAATGGATACACAACAATTTGGATATCATTAACACCAGTGAATTGTATATAAATTAATGGTTAAGGTATCAAATTTTAATGTTATTGCATCTCACTACAATTTAAGGAAATAAAAAAATCAAATTCATGTAATTCAATCACATTAACAGAAGAGAAGAATCATTCCCAGAGTTACAAAACAGCATTTAATGAAATTCAACATCTGTCCATGATAATAAACCTCAGAAAACTAGGATTTAAAGACACTTCCTTAATATAATAGACATTATCTAAAATTTACCTCATATCACACTGATGAAAAAATATTTAGTTTTTCTTTAGATTTGGAGAAAAAGGCAAAGATGTCTATCTACTCTTTCTACTTCTGGAGATCCTACATACTAGCCAGTACAATAAAAAAATGGTATAAAGATTATAAAGGATTAAGCTTTTTTTCTATGTATACATATGATACCTGTGATAATGTAAAAACTGAAACATAGAAAGTCCAAAAGAGTGAACAAACTATTATAATTAAGAAATTAATTTAGCAAGGTAACTGGTTATACAGCTGCCTTTTTAAAAACATGTACATATATACACATACACGCAGAATATATTTGTTATGTATATTGCAGCAACAATCAAAAATGAAATTTTAAAAATAGCATTTAAAATATCAAAAACATCAATTCCAACTGACCCAAAAAATCTACAACTGAAAATATAGCAAAACTTCTGAAACTGAAAAAAATGAAAACATTCTACATAACAAAAAAATTAATGATAGTAAAATATCTACAATAAATGAAATTTAAGCATGCCCATAAGATGAAAGTGTCAAAATTGTTACTTATACAATACTAATTAAAATCCCAGGTTGTTGTTGGTGGGATGATTTGTTTAAAAATAATTCATAAATTGATTATGAAAATGCCAATGACCTAGAATAGTAGTCATTATTTTGAACAAGAAGAAAAAATCAGAAAACATATACTACCAGTTTTCATTAAGAATTTATATTGGTACAATGCTAAACAAAATAAAACACTGGAACAGGATAGCTTAGAAGACCATCAAATATATGATGGTTTATCATACATGTTCCACTACAACTCAAGTGAAGAAGGAAAGATGTGTTTTCAATGAAAATGATGTTAAACAAATTTTATATTTATATATAAAAATGTCAATTTGTTTTCAACTCACATGTACATAAAAATTATTTATTATGGATCACAAATATTAAAGTGAAAAGTAAAATAGTAGATATGTGAAGAAAATGTAGGACAAGCTAGGACAAGATTTCTCAAACTGGGCATAAAAGAGCACTTACAATTTAAAAAAAAGAAAAATTACTCGTAATCAAAATAAAAACTTCTATTCTTTCAAAGAATATCATTAAGAGAGTGAAAAGCAAGCTGTGTGGGGAGATGCTATTTGTAACACAAATATCTAAAAGATACCTTGCATCCAGAATAAAGTATCCTACAAATGAAAAGGAAGTCATAGTTACTTGGGTTAAAGAGGGCATTTATAAAACCAATAAGAGCCTAAAAGGCTCAACATTATTAGTGACTGAAGATATGTAAATTAGACCTATAATGAGATACTAGTATACACTAGAACCAGGATGTTATAGTTTGGATCTTGAATATTCCCCCATAGGGCAATATGTTAAAGGTTTGGTACTCAGGCTTTCGCTACTGGGGTCTTGGTAGGAGATCCCTAGATTAGTAAAGGAGTACCCTTGAAAGCGCCTACAGGACCAGGGCCTCTTCCTCTCCTTCTCCTAGCTCATGATACAAACAAGTTTGCTCCACTTAATGCTATGCTCCCTGGTCCCAGGCCCAAAGCAGCAGGGCCCATCAATCATAGACTGGAACCTTCAAATCTATGAGACAAAAAAAAAAAAAAAACCTTTTCTTTTTGTAAGTTCTCTCAGGCATTTCATTATGGGAAGAAAAAGGAACTAGCACATAAGCTTTGGCTCCTTACCACTCCACTAAAACTGCTAAGTCATGGAAATGACTATATCATCCCTATCCCCTTACCCAAAGGACACTCTTCAGTCCTTATGACATTTTAATGTGCTGACTATGCTTCTCTTGGTGAAAGGCTTTCTCCAAGTCAGGGTTGGAAGGTAGGGCTTAGGTTTGGTGAGGATTACAAGGCAGAAAGGAACAAACCAACTGAGTTAGCATCAGGCTGCATCAACTGCCTAACAGAGGGGATTACAAGTAGTTATTTCAGGGTTTGAAACTCAAACTTCTCAATGAGAAACTAGCTATATCCAAGTACATTAACTATACTTAAAAGAGGTAAGCCTCTTAGTAAATGTTAATAGATTTCACTATTAAAGCTCAATCTAAAAGGGCACTTTTAAACACAAAATGAAATTATTCATTTATAATGGGAGACAGTGATATCACTTATTAAATAAGCCTTTTCCAAATTAAATGCATACTTATCCACTGTGGGAGGAGGTATTTGATCTTTACTATTAATGAAGTATAGTTCATAATGTCCTGATCTTTCTGGATATAATGGTTCATGTTTTGTTAAGAGCTTTTCGTATTAGGGGTAAAGCCTTTGGGTTCTCATTTTGACTACAGACCTTTCCTACTATTCACAGAACTTCCAAGCACTCATTCATGGACTTGGAAGCTTGTGGCTGTTTCCTCCATCATACAAGGTTTTGAAATTGCACACAGGCCCACCTTCCAACATACTCCTTTTGCCATTATGACCTTTTGTTTGGTGCCACATTGAAAGTGAAACTACTTTCTGTAGAACAACTTTCTGAGGTTGTGGTCTTCAGATGCACAATCTAGAAACAAGTTTCAGATGTTTTTGAGACATACTTTTTATCTGGACTTTTGATTACAACCTCAAAATGAAACTGAGAGGGTGGGAGGAATGAGGTGCTGACTAAGTTCTTCAGAATGTATTTGACTTCAGAGCCCATCCCCACACCCTCAGATCCTTAAGCCCCCCCTCTCCTACAGGTTTCCCTCACAACTAAAGTAGTTCCTGGCATATATTTAAGGGTCCAATTAATCAATTTCACAAGAAAAAAAAGGTTTTTCCTTTTTATATAGATATTACATGTTCACTGCAAAGAAAATTATAGAAAATCAAATAAAAAATTGCAAACAAATGACACCTGATAGTCTACCAACTCTAGAGCAATTCTCATTAACTTTTTGGAAACCATCTCTTCATTCACTTTCTGGTGGTCACATAAATATGTCATGTTACACAGATAGTTTTATATCATACATGCTACATTTAAATTTTCTATTTTTTTCTCCATGTCCCTATTCCCGCTTCTCCTTTTCTCCCTCCTTTCAAGGTTACCAACATTGACAATCTGGTTTTTATTCTTTATGCACATATAAACACACACATCATTATACAATACATGTAGACATTACTTCAATGTAAATGAAGTCTTCTATATATACATCTGTTGCAAAGCAATTATTTAAACTAAACATTGTGAAAAATCTTGCAGTTCATATAACACATTTTAAAAATTATTCTCATACTGTTACAAAATATATATATATGTCACATATGTCCAACCATCTCCCTATTAATTGGCAGTATGCTTCTAGTTGAGGCTTCTTTTTCACCTTCTAAAATAATACTTCAACAAACATCTTTATTTGTGTTCTTATGCACTGTAGCTGCATTAGTCTCTGAGTCAGAGTCCCAAAAGTGAGAATGCTGAGTCAAAGGGAATTTTCAATAATATATATTGCTGTATTACTGGTGGAAATATAACCCCACTAGCTAAGAAAAGGTTAAATTTTGTCAAATCCATGAAGTGGAAGTTTCGTCCCAATGTGGCTTAAATATGCATCTCCCTGAGTGCTAGTTAGGATTAAATTTTTCTATAGGTTAATGGCCTTTTGGGATTGTCTTTCAATCCAGATGTTTAATTCATCTAGATTAAATGTTAAGTTAAAAAAATGTCAAAATCCTGGAAACAAATTTAGAAGATTATGTACAAAGCAGGGATTAAGGATACCCCTTTTAATTAAAAAAGTAAATTGAGAACTTAAAAAGATATATTTTTACTATAAAAATTAAAATGCTGTATCTTTCCTATGTAGAAAAGTATAATTGGTAAATTGAAAAAAAAACATTTGTACACCCATGGCAAGAAATTAATATCAAATGCATATAAAAGCACCTCTATGTTATAATAAAAGCAGACAAATCCATAAAATAGACAAATATATATAAAAAAGTATGAAATCTGCATGAAGGTTTTCATTTGTCCACTGTTTTTTTCTAGTGTGAATTTCTTTTAACTTCTAAGATTTAATATGACTAAATGCTTTTTCCACATTCATTATATTTAGAGTGTCTCTTCAGAGTATATTTTCCATGAATTTCTATTGAAGATTTTTCTACATTCATAAAATATAGTTTATAAGATTCTTATTATGGAGCTGACATCTGGATCAACAATTTATTGTTCTCTAAATTAACTGAGTTTCTCTCTGATGAATTCTTTGATGTACAGTAAGGCTTGAACTACTCCTGAAGGCTTTTCCACATTCATTACATTTATAGGGTTTTTCTCCAGTATGCATTCTCAGATGTACAGTGAAATCTGAGTTAGTTCTGAAGGCTTTTCCACATTCTTCACATTTATAAGGCCTTTCTCCAGTATGAATTCTCTGATGTAGAGTTAGCTGTGATAGAGTAATACAACCTTTACCACATTCCTTACAAGTATAGGGCTTTTCACCAGTATGTGTTCTCCAGTGCACTGTGAGGTATGAACCTCTCCTGAAGGCTTTCCCACAGACATCACATTTATAGGGCTTTTCTCCACTATGGATTTTCTGATGCTCTGTGACATGCACCATCTGGCTAAATGCTTTTCCACAACCATTGCATTTGAATGGTTTCTCTCCAGTATGTGTTCGCTGATGAGTGTTAAAGCCTGAGTTACTTGTGAAAACCTTCCCACATTCATTACATTTATAGGGTTTCTCTCCAGTGTGCCTTCTTTGATGCACAGTAAGCTGTGATGTATTAGTGAAAGCTTTCTCACATTCATTACATTTATATGGTTTTTCTCCGGTATGTGTCCTTTGATGCACAATAAGGTATGATTTTGTCCTGAAGGACTTTCCACAATCATAACATTTATAGGGTTTCACTCCTGTATGAATTTTCTGATGCTCCTTGAGATTTACCATTTTGGTGAATGCTCTGTCACAGTCAGTACATTTATATGGTTTCTCCCCAGTATGGATCCTCTGATGTACAGTTAAGTGTGATTTTATTCTGAAGGATTCCCCACATTCATTACATAGATAAGGTTTCTCTTCAGTATGAATACGCTGATGTATAATTAAAGATGAAGAACGCATGAAGGCCTTTCCACATTCATCACACTTATAAGGTTTCTCTCCTGTATGCATCCGGTGATGTACAGTAAGGCATGAATAATTAATAAATGCTTTTCCACATTCATTACATTTATAGGGTTTCTCTCCTGTATGAATTCTCTGATGTTCTGTGAAATTTGCTATGCGGTTGAATGCTTTCCCACATTCATTACATTCATAGGGTTTTTCCCCTGTATGAGTTCTGATATGTACAATAAGGCTTGAATTACTTCTATAGGCTTTCCCACATTCATTACATCTAAAGGGTTTCTCTCCAGTATGAATTCGCTGATGAACATTAAAAATTGTGGTATTTTTAAAAGATTTCCCACACTCATTGCATTTGTAAGGTTTCTCCTCAGTATGGGTCTTCTGGTGTACACTAAGATATGACTTATTCCTAAAAGCTTTCCCACAATCATTACATTTGTAGGGTTTTTCCCCATTATGAGTTTCCTGATGTCTTGCAAGTTTTGATTTGTCACTAAATGCTTTCCCACATTCACTGCATTTATAGGGCTTCTCTCCAGTTTGAATTCTCTGATGCTGATTAAGGCGGGCACACTGGCTAAAGGATTTTCCACAGACATTGCATTGATAAGGTTTCTCCTTGGTATGAATTCTTTGATGTACCATAAGTGAAGATGAAGCAATAAAAGCTTTTCCACATTCATTACATTTATAGGGTTTTTCTCCAGTGTGAATTTTTTTATGTTGACTAAGATATGAAGGCTGGCTGAACGCTTTCCCACATTCATTACATTCATAAGGTTTTTCTTTAGTGTGAATTCTCTGATGCTGAATGAGTAATGATCTATACCGAAAGGCCTTTTCACATGTACTACATTTATATGGTTTTTCTTTATTACTGGATTTTTCCCCTAAACTAAATTCTGAAGTCTGGTTTATAGTTTTGTTGCCTTTCATATCCTTGCAAATTATCTTTCCCAAATGAGTATCTGTAATCAAATCTAAATTCTCTGTGAAGTTTTCCTCATGTATTTTACATTTGCCATGGGGCTCTTCTGTGATAATTCCTGGTTCTAGAAAAAGAACAGACCCAAATCTAAAGCCTCTTTGATCAGTGGAAATTTTCTTGTGTGTTACTCTTCTTTGACTCAGATGACTCTTCTCACTATTTTGCAATTTCAATATTTTGTCATTCCATTTCCATAATCCTTCCTTTGTGGAATCCCACAGACCATTCTCTGTGAGTTTCTCTACAACAGTTTCCTGTAATAAATCTTCTTCAAAAATATCCTCTGTAAGTATAACATTCTTGTCTGCATGTTTGATTTCCATGTCCAGAGGAAAAAAGAGAAGAAACAAATAACTTCCTATTTCTTAAGTTTATGGAAAATTCACCAAACATGATAATAAAAGTGAAAGGGGCTTATAATTAATATATGGTTTTAACTGCTTTCCAATTGACCTTATTTTCTAGGAAGATAAAAGTATGGTTAAGGGAGGATATTTGTACAAAGAATCAAAGACTCACAAATTCAATGACATTTTTTTCTATTAAAAAATCACTCAAAACCCTCCTTAGATTCTAAGTCTCTCAAATACTTCTCCCTTTCTGCCTTCCGGTTAGAGCCAATTTCTTTAAAGAGCATTCTCTTTCCTTGCTTCTCATTTGCTCCAAAAATCACACATCTCTCCCCAACCACCCATTTGATTTGTTCTCATTATTGTTTTTGTTATGAGGGTTTTTTCTCAAATTTCCCTGGCAAAGTGTTTTAAGTCTTAGTACATACTTTTTAATAGAAATTAATGGAAGAAGATACTAATTTACCAAAAGTTGAAAAAAAATTAGTCAAAATTAGTATTTATAGTTATTGATGTTTCAAACAGTGAAAATTATTATTCAACCAAGGATAACATTCACAAATTTATTATGGGTTCTAAGAACATTTCTAATGGTTTGTCAAAAATTCATTTTAATAATTCTTTAGGAAGTAGTCTTACAACTTGTTTTTACAGATTCAAATCATAAGAGAGGATATCCTCTGATCATAGTAGAATTAAAGATAACAAAGATTATCTTTAGAAAATCCTCAGCATAAATTTTAAAAAAACAATTTAAAATAACCCAAGGGTCAAAGATATCACAACAGAACTCACCAAATACTTCGAACTCAATAATATGAAGATGTTATATATAAAAATGTGTCATATAGTCCTTATAAACCTAAATACATCATTAGAAAAAAAATGGCTAGAATCAATGATGTAAGTATCCCATTCAAGAATTAGCAAAAATCCATAAATTAAACCTTAAGGAGATAAAAGTAATGAAATAACAAAGAACAGAAAGTAATGAAACAGAGATCAAACACAGAAGAAGGAAAATAAGAATGGTTTTTTAAAGCCACATAATACTAATAAACCCTGGAAAGACTGATAGATTAAAGATAGAAGAACACCCAAAAATTATTATCAGGAATGAAAAGGGGGATGTTACTTCAGATCTATAGAGATGTTTAAAAGATAATCAGAGGACGGAGATTAACACCAAGAAATTAAAACTTTAGATTAAGTGGACCAATTTCTAGATAAACATAATTTTCTAAACTAAAACAAAAGAAATAGGGAATAGGAATAGTTCTGGTAAGTATTAAAGATTAATAGAAGTTGTAATTAAATACCTTTCTCAGGCTCAGATGAATTCTGTGAATTCTATATTCCATAAAAAATAAAAACTCTCAACTCTTGCTTTCTTTACTATAAGCTCTTAACCTTGCCTCATATTATAGAGAATATGGAAGCCCTAATAACAGAAAGCTTTAACCTTCCCACCACCAGTTGACCAACATCTGTGCCCATCTTCTCCATCTTTCTCAGTGTTACAAGACAGGAGTTGATCTCCTTGACAATCCCTCCTTTTCAGTCTAGACTTTATCCACTTAAACCTTCTCAAACCCTTCAATCCTTCAGTGATTGAGGCATTTCTATGAACACTGAACCATTTTGTGGAAACTTCCATCCCAAAAAATACAACAAAAATGCTGTTCTTCATTCTATATTTTCCTCTAACTGTTGCATCATTGTTCTCTTCCTCTTCATAAGGAAAAAAATAATCTCCTTTAGATACTCATCTATCTCCACTTTTACTGACTCATTTAAATATAAATAGTATTATTTAATTCAGAATATATGTGAGTTATAATAAAATGAATACTCAAACTAATTTCCATTTAATTTTTTCCATGTCCACTGCCATCACTGTAATAAAGGTACTACTGTCTTCTCTTGTCTAGACTGTTGTTACAACCTCTTAACTTTCTGGCAGCTTTATGACCTTAAGTTAAATCTTCATTAACAGCATTAGTTTCTTAAAAATTCTTAATTAAAATCTTTTCAAGGCACTGGAATTGTGAATCAGCGGTACAGTGCTCACCTAGCATGCCTCAGGCACTGGGTTCAATCTTCAGCACCAATTAAAAATAAAATAAAGGTTATTGTGTCCACCGACATCTAAAAAGCAAATATTTTAAAAACTCTTTTCATATTTTTGCACTCAGCTCCCTTAGGTTAACATCCAAACTCCTTACCATTATCTGCCATGCCCTGCAGACTGCCTCCTGACCCTACCTCTAATCTCATTTTGTAACAGTCCCCCTTCACTTATGCTACAGTCTCAGAGACTTCCTTTTGATTTCCAGAACATATTATGTTCTTTTCCATATCAGGTCCTCTGCACTGCTGATTTTTTTTCCTGGAATTATTCTCTTCTCTTCCCCTGGCTAGCTTCTTCTTATCCTTCAGGTCTCATGTTAAATGCCACATCCTCAGAGGCCTCCCCTGACTACCCTATCCAAAGCAGGCACCCTCATCCCTGTCCAGGTTACTATCCCATATCTCCTCATTTATCTTGTAGCTAACAGGTACTCCACCACTAATTAACTTGTTTTTATTTGTTGAAATTCAATTGCCATAAGGGTAGGGACCTATTACATCTTATTCACTGCTATTGTCCTAGTATTTAACCTAGTTCACAGCATATAGATGTATCATAAACACTGATTAAATAAATGAATTCTATATTTTGATTCTCAACTGGTTCCTTGTTCATATTCTCAAGGAGTTAAGAACCTGGAAAAAAGGAAGATAGTCTTTGAATAGGTTCAGTAGCCTTGCAGTTGAACAATGTTAAATTACAAGTAAATAGGTTTATTTTTAAAGAAATCAGTGGTGACCCTTAAGGAAGCATTTTTAGGAAAAAAATGAAAAAATAAATGTCATATTATGATAAAACAAATCAGAAAAACAAAAAGTTAACTGGAAAGGATAGAACATAAAGGGTTATGTTGCGAATGTTTGAATAAAAAAGAATAAAGGAATATTTGTGAAAAGTATGTCCCTAAGAAAGCAAAGTAGGGTGGTACAATGAACCAAAGGAGAGGACGGGGGGGGGGGAGAGAAAACAGTGGGCAACAGAGATGGGCAGCGAGAGGAATGGGACATGAGATCTTTTCCTTTAAGGCAGCTTTGATATTGAAATATCACCCAAAATACTTCCTATGTTCTGTGGAATTTCTCCCTATTATCTGTTATTTGAAATAAATCCCAGTTTCTTGGTTCTGATTAACTTACCTGGATAGGGAGTTCTTGAAATTTCTCTCACCACTGCCCATGGTCCTTTCCCATTCTCTAAATGAGTTATCATGTCTGGTTTGGAAACTGCAAGCCCTGTTCAGAGAAAAATGAATAGGATTTAATTGAAGCTACAATCAAGAATTATTACCAATTTTTGTCTCAATCTCTGTAAGGACCACTACAAGAAGTTTTAGAACTGTACTAAATTGCTGATTAGTCATTTGTGGCTATTTAAATTTGAACTGAAATTAAAATAAATGAAAAAATAAAATTCAGCTCTTTAGATGGACCAGCCAAATTTCAGTGTTCAAAAACCATAAGTACACAAGAAATAAAACCAACAATCAATAAGTAGGATTGCCATTAAACTAAAAAGCTCCTTCTGCACGGCTAAGGAAACAATTAAGAATGTGAAAGGAGCTTACAGAATGGGAGAAAATCTTGGCAAGTTACCTTTGATAGGGATTAATATCCAGAGTATACAAAGAACTCAAAAATCTTAAAATCAAAAAACCAAACAGCCCAACCAACAAATTGGCAAAAGAATTAAACACAAACATCTCAACAGAAGTAACACAAAAGGCCAATAAATACATGAAAAAATGTTCAGCATCTCCCGCAATCAGGGAAATGCAAATCGAAACTACTCTAAGATTTTATCTCACTCCAGTCATAATGGCAATGATCAAGAATAAAAACAACAATAAATGCTGGTAAGGTTGTGGGAAAAAAGGAACATTTGTACATTGTTGGTTGGATTTCAAACTAGTACAACCACCCTAGAAAGCAGTTTGGAGATTCCTCAAAACTAGGGATGGAACCACCATATGATCCAGCTATCCCACTTCTGGATATTTTCCCAAAAGATCTAAAATCAGTATGCTATGGCAGCTCAGCCACATTAATGTTTATAGTAGCACAATTCACATTCACAGTAGCTAAATTATGAAATCAATCCAGATGTCCATCAACTGATGAATGGATTAATAAACTGTGATAAACACACATACACACAACACACACACACACACACACACACACACACACACACACTGAAGTTCTACTCAGCCATTTAAAGGAATGAAATTATGGCATTTGTTGGTAAATAAATGGAAATGGAGAATATCATGCTAAGTGAAATTAGCCAAACTCATATACGGAAGCTAGAATAAAATAAAGAAAAGAGGAGGGAAGGATAAGATTACAAAAGGAACCAATCAAATACAAATTAATAGATAAGTGAAAGGAAATTTAGTAGATTAGAGGAAGGAAAAAGGGAGGAGGAGGTGAAGCAGGAAAGGAGGAGGAAAATGTGGGGATCATGAACTGAAATCAATTTCCATGCATGTATGAGTTTGTTGGAATGAACTCAACTACTATGTATAATCACAAAGCTCTAATTAAAACAAAAACATAATGGCTAATATCTGCCATAGTGGATAGCACAGTTATAGAATAAACCTCTCATAGTAGAATGTTCTGTCATATAGTTTATTCTAGAGAATTACAACCACCTCAAGGAGAGCTCAACACTATGATCTAGGTTCGTGGGATAACAGATCATGAGAATAATCTAAATTTAGAAAGAAAATGAACGCATCTGTTCCTTCCTTTCTAGAGGCAGTGATAACAATTCCAATTTATGGCAATGATCAGGAAAACCTTTGATCCTATATCTGTAGGACTGTCAACAATCTCCAAGATTCAAAAGAAACAAATATTTCTTTATCTACAATGAGCATGCCATTTAGTTAAAAGTGAGGAACTGCATGAATTACAACAATGTGCCCCTGAGATGAAAAGATTTTTGACACCTAAACTCTAAGCCACATTCAGTAAAAACTTTAGAGTCTCAATATTTCTGGAAAACCTGGTCAAATAGGCAAAGCCATCAACATAGAAGTTAGCCTTACCCAGTGAAACCAGATTTCTATAATTCTCTAGCATCACATCTTTGTGCAGATTCCTCTGTGTAGGGTCCATCAACCTCCATTCCTCCAATGTGAAGTCTATTGCCACATCCTTAAACGTCACTGATTCCTAAAATAAATACAAAGCAATTACCCAGGGATCATAGAATTAGACTTGTTAAGCAGACAGTAAGTATGAAACTGGGGAAGAACTCTTACAATCAGAATCACCAAATGATTATATAGGTCAACCTGTTCAACCTTTCCAGAATATATGACAAGAACCTAAAACCAGAAGAGAAAGCCTATTCCAGCTTTGGTGTCTTACCTGATAGCAGGATTTTTTTCAGACCACTTCAAGTCTAGATTTTTATAAACTCTAACTAAATATTGATCCTACCTTAATACCTGGAGTTGAACAGTATGGTTTCCTTCTTCCTTAGAAAACCTTTAAAATATTTAGTAATTCTGATAGTTTGCATCCAAATCATCTCTTCTCCCTACAAACCTATTTTAAGTCAACTTTCTTCCAATTCCAATCCATAGAATATTACTTAATAAAATGTATATTTTATAATTCAGATAATTGCATATAAAATGGGGTGAGTATTAGTAAGGAGGAAACAGCAAAGTAGACTGAAAAAGAAGATAGGCCTTTGGACTGACATTTAAAATACACAAAGAACTCTTTTAAAAATCAACAGTAAGAAAATGAACAACCCTATCAAAAAAATGAACAGAATACCTGAATAGCCACTTAACCAAAGAATATAAATGGATTACAAGTACATATATGAAAAGATCCTCCACATCATATGTCATTACAGAACTGCAAATTAAAACTATATTGAAATACCACTATGAATGTATTAGATGCCAGAACCCAGACCCCTGACAACACCAAATGCTGACACTCTCACTCATTGCTGGCAGAACTGCAAAATGGCATTGCAACACAGTTTAGAAGTCTCTTACAAAATTAAGTATATTCTTCCCACACAATCCAGCAGTCACAGTTCTTACTATATTCCCAAATGAACTGAAAACTTAATACCCAAGCAAAAATCTCCACATGGACATTTATAGCAACTTTATTCATCATTATCAAAATCTGGAAGCCACTAAGATGTTCTTCAGTATGTGAATGGATGAATAAATTGGTACATTTGGACAATGGAATATTATTCAATACTAAAAAAATGAGCTATCAAATCAAGGAATAGAAGCAACTTTAAATGCATATTATTAAGTGAAAGAGGCTACTCTGAAAGGCTAAATAATGTACAATTAAAACTATATGACATTCTTGAAAAGGCAAAACTATGGAGATGATAAAAAGGTCAGTGATTGCCAGAGCTTCAGGAGGGAGTCAGATGAATATGTACAGCACAAAGGACTATTCTCTATGATACTCTAACTGTAGGTACATTATATTACATGCTTGTCAAAATACATAGAATGTACTATACCAGGGTGAACCCCAAAGAAATTTGGGTGATAATGATGTGTCAATGTAGGTTAATCAATTTTTAACAAAGGTACAACTCTGGTGCAGGATATTGATAGTGGAAGAGACAAGGAAGCAAGGGCAGCAGAATACAACATACACTAGTATGGCAGTATGTAAAAATGTGGATGTGTAACCGATGTGATTCTGCAATCTATATACGGGGTAAAAATGGGAGTTCATAATCTACTTGAATCAAATGTATGATCAAGAGCTTTGTAATGTTTTGAACAACTAATAATAAAAAAAAAGAGACAAGGGAGCTATGTGGAGGGAGACAGGGATATACAGGAATTCTATATACCTTCTGCTCAATTTTGCTAGAATCCTAACATTACTTTTTAAAAATATAAAGTCTATTTTAAAGGGAAAAATAGGCCCTTTTGAATGTTTCTTATTTTTATATATTTGAATTTTGATCCATGTAAATGCTTTATATTATTTTAAAACAAAAATTTAAAAGACAGTCCCTAAAAGTTAAAAGATGCAAACAGTTGGTAGCATACCCATTTATGAGAGAACTACTTTGAGTGACTTTAAAACATAGTAATTTGTCTGCATATTTCTGTTAAGATATACTCTGAGGAGAAAAAGAACTACAAAACAAAACCAAAAAATAGGTTTTCAGTAAATAATCAGATGGGATGCAATCAGTAAAATCCATACTGTCTGAAATTCTAAATCAATACTGTTCAATAGAAACATAATGTAAGCCATAAATGTGATTCTTAATTTTCTAGTAGCCACGTTCAAAATAAAAAGAAATGGTGAAATGAGTTTTCATAATATATTTACTGTACTCAATAAATACAAAATGCTATAAATTTAATATGCAATCAATATTAAAATTAACAATGTACTTTATATTAATTCATCATTGAAATATGGGTATGAATTTTAAATTTATAGCACATTTCAATTTTGACTAGCCACATTTATAGTGGTCAAGATTCACCTGTGTCTAGTGGCTTCTCTATATGACAATGTAGCTCTAAAGTAAAAATGACTTGATTTGTGATTACAAAGGGAAAAAAGGAGAGGATGAAATCTCTACATTAAAGTAACCCAAGAGACATATTAACCAACTATACTGTTTGACTCAACTTAGGGAAACAAATACCAGTTGGATATCTGATGACATAAAGGCTTGATATGATGCCAATGTTAGTTATTATAATGATAATATTTGGGCTGGGGTTGTAGCTCAGTTGTTGAACGCTTGCCTTGAATGCATGAGGTTCAATTCTCAGCACCACATAAAATAAATAGATATTGTATCCATCTACAACTAAAAAAAAATTTAAATAATGATAATATACTATTTATATCATATTATATTATATTATATATTATATCATATTATATTGATGTAATCATATATTGGTATAATATATTTATATCAATATAAAAAATGTATACTATACCAATATACATTTACATCAATGAAATAGAATTGATAGTCTAGAAATAAATCCTTATGTTTATGATCAGTTGATTTTCAACAAGGATATTAAGAATTCAATGAGGGAAAGAATGGTCTTTTCAGCATACATTGCTGAGTCAACTGGATATTTATATACAAAAATGAAATTTAATCCTACCCCAGACCATGTATCAATATTAACTGAAAATGGACCACAGAACTAAGTGAAAGAACTAAAAGTAAAAAACTATTATAAGGAAAGATGATAAAATCTTCATGACCTTCAATTTGGTAATGAATTCTTATATATGAAAATCAAAGTACAAAAGAAAATGCTAGGTTAATTAGACTTCATCAAAATTAAACACTTTGTACTTCAAGGGATATGATCAAGAACTTGAAAAGGAAATCCATATAAAGTGAAAGAATGTTTACAAACCTTTTATCTGGTAAGGGATTTGTATCTGAAATACATAAAGAATTCTTACAATTCAAAAATAAAAACACACTCAAGGAAAAAATGTGTAAAGGGCTTGAACAGATGTTTGTCCAATGGCCAGTAAGTACATGAAAAGATCCTGAAAATCCTTAGTCATTAGGGAAATAAGATACCAATAAGATGCCTATAATATGTATATAATAAAGAACACATATAATACTCAGCAATAATTAAAAGAGTTTCTTCAGTTTAACAACTAAAATTCAGTTTCTGAAAAAAGGACAAATAAATGAATCTACTTTCACCAACATGAAAATTCCCTCAACATTCTGGAAATCTTACTATGTTTCAAGGCTTCATTCAAACTTCCACATTCTACAATCAGTATTTTTTCATCCTTCACACAATACAACCCTCTGGTTTCTCATGATCATTTTTTTTAACCTTTTTTTCCCTGGAAAAGGGGGAAAAAAGATTGAAGAATATTTTGGGGTAATTTAGGTTACTGCTAAAATTAAAATTTTATTTTCATTGCAACAAATTCTAATCAGGTAGAAGGACACATATTTACTTCAACTACACTATCCCAAATCAACTCTATTCTTACCTTAGAAAAATAAAATTGGAAACCAAATTCACAATACCCACAAACTGCTGATTCTTAATTCAGCCAAAACACTGATGTATACTATAGAAACCGAAAATCATAAGCCTTATGATGTTCTTTATCCTAAAGATTCTGAGAAAACTGCATTAAGTTAGGTTGACGTAAAGATTTCTTCCTGATAAATTTTGAGAAAGTAAAAATCATCTCAGGCTGAGAAAGTAAAATAAAAGTCTGCCTTCCCATTTGTCAAGTTAGAAGAAGAGACACAGAGAAAACCAGCAGCAAAGTTAAGCAGAAATATTTCTTGCATGGTCACTCTAGATGTAAAGTGTCAAAAGGCCCCTTCTTTGAATAACTACTGCTTTTTACTAAGAAACTTTTATAATGTAGACTGTCAGAAAATTTAGTTTGAAATCATGTCAGAAAAAAATGAAAGTGACTTTGATGCAGTTTTGATTTCCAACCCAGATAAAGAGCTCACACCATGGGATACTGAACAAAACATTTTACATTTATCTTAACTCTGTACTTTCTGAGGAGAGAGAACCTCAGTTCCACTTTTCAGTCTTTATACAAAGCCCACTTTGATTTGCACCTATCAAATCACTGATTTCATTAAAATTTCTGCTGAACTCCACTCTCCCTCAAACTGATGTAATAACCCTATGTTCTCCTTCATTTGGTATGAAGTATCTCTCATTGCAATGAGCCAATAATACTGAAAAGTTTGGCCTTCAATTGAATAAGACTAATTATATTAATTCTTTTGTCACTATAAAATCATAAAGCTCATTTGATTTTAAAGATTCTTATTATCTCCTCTTCATCTTGAAGTTATGCTTCTCTAGTTGTTTGTTGTTAGGGAATTAAATTACTAACCTAAAATATCAACCTATATACAGGCACTATTAAACTATCTATGATTTTACTGGTTTTACTATTAAACTATCTATGATTTTACTGGTTTCTATCTTACATACCTCAACCTTATATGAGAGTCAGAAAATATCATGACTCTTTCCTTTTGGTCTGATTATAATAATC